GAAGAAAAAGTAAAAAATTTAATCTACTAACTACTACAAAATCCTATCAAATTCATATAAGTGCATAATCAGGATAAAATGACTGCAGAAGAAAGTAAATCTAGTCTAAAACATGCATGCAATAATATTAAACTAAAAAGTTAAACTAAAATTAAACTAAAAAGAAGTATAGTAAGTTTAAATTTTATTTTTCTTCCTACCCCCAAACTTGATTTTAACTATGTATAATATTCAATATAGAAAATATAAGCAGGAATAAAAACAGTTTGAAAATTATATATATCACAAATATTCATAAGTATTCATCAGGACAGAACAGTATGCAATAGAAATTAATTCTAAACTAGAACATGCTCAATAAAATCGAAAGAAATATCTAACAAGCAGAACATGTATCAGCTTAGAAATATATATATATATATATTTATCTGTTCTCCAAATCTTTATATTTTATATTATTGTAACACAAACACAAACACAAACACAAACACACATGATAAATGAGGTCAATTCTTCCATTAACTCATTGCATCTCACTAACGCACTTTCAAGTTCTAACAGGATCACTACACAGATATACCGGGTTCTGATAAATGATTTTATAGATTCTAATCCCAAGGAAAAGATTATCCCTGATATATAGGTTCTCGAGCACCAATCTTAAGCATCACCTTATACCAATAATTAAGCACCTCTAGTAGTTATAAGGATAGTGTAAATTCATCCACATGTTACTCATCAAATAGGTTATCTACACCTATCAAATGAAGATAAAGTCAGATAAAAGAAGTAACAAAATTGAGATGGAACTGTAACTGTTAAAATAAATAATGTCTCATGTAAAACTAAAGTTCGGGTGAGATCTGAGTCGTAGTGGACTCATCAATCCAACTACTACAAGAGAATATACAATTCCAACCATAATAAGAAGTTGGAAATCACCTCCCTCATGATACAAAAAAAGCAAATCAAACCACTAACAATCCAAACATCTATCAATTATTAATCAAACTAATCAATCCACACTAAAATCAATCCACACTAAAACACTAAAGCAAACACAATACAACACTAACAATCATAACTTTCAAGCCCACTAAATCAAATCACACTGATAACTATGGGTTGTCTCTCATAAAGCACTTTGTTTAACGTCACTAGCTCGACAAATGATTCCATCTGGATCAAAATTCCATTTAAGTAATCCTTTATCAATCACCCAATCTTTTTCAGCTCCAAGGATTCCTACAAAGTCTTCAAATTTAAAATTTTCTTTCAGCTCTTCCCTTCAGATTTATTCATATCCTTATTCCTAATTTTTATTTCTAGATCCAATATTTATCTAGTAGTTTCCTTAATTTTCATATTAATATCATCCTTAAAATTTATAAGAAATGGATCTTTTAAAATACTTCTCTCTAGATAATTCAAATTCTGGATCAAATTCTTCAAGGTTGCTCTTTTGTTCATGGTTATCTTTCAATTCTTCCCCTTGGTATTGAGTAAAAGGTAGAGGTGGTCTTTCTATATTTATCTTAGTTGAGGAAAAAGTTTTTTCTAATTCCTTAGGAATTTTTTCTATTTGTCTTTTAATCTCCTTATCCTCATTTCTCAACTCAAAGTTTTTGTGAAGCACATCCTTGAATTCTCTTCTAAATATTAGTTTGATAATTTTAAATTGCTCATCATTCATCTCTTTTATCTTAGGGTTACTAGGGGCCTGTTTGGCGCAGCTGCAGATTCTCAGCTTTCAGCTGCAGCTGCGCTGCCCTAGGAAGCAGCTGTAGGGAAGCAGCTGTGGGGAAGTTGACTGTCTGTTTGGTGCAGCTGCGTGAAAAATGTTGTGAGCCAGTTGTTTTATGTAAAAATGACCAAACTGCCCCTATTTGTTAAAACTGTTTAAAATATTTTGATTTATTTGTATAAATATGGGTTTAATATACATAAAGTTTATAAAAAATATTATTTCTTACTTAATTAAACGAACTAATTTTTTTTCAACATTCATTTTTATACATTTTTTCAAAAAAAAATTTTGTAATTTTGAACACAAATAGGTTTAAAATTTTTCTTTATCTATATATCAATGTATATGAATATTAATTCATCTATACAAATAAAAATTTACAAACATATTTTATAAGCATAAAATGTAAAATACATATATGCACCTTAAGCCACTGAGAAGTCGTTCTTTCTTACATAAAGACGTAGGAACTCATACAGTTTTGTACATCCAAAATAGCCCAGAGTACACAAATGCAACTCAACCACTAGCTAGGAGAAGCAGAATGAAAAAAAACTGTAAAACCACAACCACGTCGAGTAGCATAATGGTAATGTTATTTCGAACAATGACACGTTGTAGCTCCCGTGTCTGCCTTTCGTCGTCTGAAACTCGCAAATCGGTACCAACGTCATCCTCAGCATCAGAGAAACTGTCCGCCATCGGAAAAATCTGCATTGATCGGCAATGCTTCGGGGGCATGTATAAAACTTCCGACCGTAGCTATGTATAAAACTTCCTACCGTACCTTGGTGCTTGCCGTGAGGTCAAAAGGCCAGTTTGCAGGCCACAATGACAAACCACTCGTCGGGAGGTAGCGGACATCCTCGAAGTCATTTTATCCTGAAAAACAATGTAGCCTAAAACATAATTACTAACATATTAGGTAATGAAAAAGGCTATCATTAAAATTGAAATATTTATCTGAAAATAAACACAAACCCCTTAACATATTGTGTTTACAGCAGATCTGAATCGAAATAAGCACTCTCCAACTAATGAGGTAGTGATCTCCTCACGAAGGGCTTTCATTTCACTCGCACCTTCCCCATCTTTCGTGCAAATTGAGGCATTATTGTTCTCCTCTGTTGATAGAGTTTGACCAATGCGGTATTCATAAGCTTTGACAGGTACTTCGTCATCATTGACCTCGACACGCTCAAAGTCAACATCAGCTCAGGTTGGATGCCGCCGAATATAGTTAGTAAGGGCCATAGTGGCTAACACTACCTGCACCTGTTTCGAAAACGGATAAGGTGTCATATCTCGAAGTATGACCCATTTTTTCTTCCAAACTCCGAAAGTCCTCTCAATAACGCCTCGTAAGGATGAATGTCTTCTAGTAAAGACCTCTTTTCTATTTCTCGTACGATTGCTGGCTCTTTGAAAAATCTGGAAGATGATACCTTGTGTCAGGATAAGGTTTAAGGTACCCCCTCTGCATTGGGTAGCCCGCGTCCACCAAATAGTACTTTCCTGAAAAATTAAAAACTTTAGGGGAGCACACAAAAAATAATTCTACTTGTATTAGTAAGGAACTAACCATGCGGTGGGTGAGGAAAATTGTACTCTGGATTTCTCGTTGCAATTTTGAAGATTCTACTATCATGTGCGCTGCCCTCCCATCCAGCCATTGCAAATGTGAAACACATGTTGAAATCACATACTGCCATGATATTTTGAGTTGTGCTTCTGGAATGGCCGATAAATGCAACTTTCTCGTTATCTAGGACTCTAGCATGAACATGCGTTCCATCGATTGCGCTGATGCAACCCTTCACAAATAAAGTGAAATCATTTCAATATACAACCCATTAATATTGATTTAAAGTATGAATGTGTACCTTGAAATGTGGCATGTATCGGGCATCGTTGCGAATCTGTACTGGCGTTCTGGCAAACGTTGGATCT